TGGCAAGCTGTGGGGCCCCCTCTTTCAGTATATTAAAGAGAATGGTTCTTTACTCAGTCCTGATAGTTGATGGGAAAGGAGTAAGGCTTGATTTCTGAAGGTTGTTTTACAAATCTCATAAACAGCTTGAATAACGGATTAATATTTATTTATATATGTATATTTAATTATTATTATTAGTTCCTATTATTCTGACTGTGCATTGTTTGTTCATGGTTTGTTTTTTTTTTGTTGTAGTTGCTTTGTACCTTATTTTATTAGTATTGACACACATTGTCTTTATCATTGCTTTCTGTTTCTGTGTAGAAAATTAATAAAAAAAAATAAAAAATAGGCATTTTCAAAATGATATAATAAATGATCTGTGGAGTATTTTGAGCTGAAACTTCACAGACACATTTTGGGGACACCAGAGACTTATATTACATATTGTAAAAAGGGGCATAATATGTCTCCTTTAGTTTGTGGTGACTATGGTAACTATTGCTCCATTGCCCTGCAAAAGTAATTTCGACATTGTATAGGAAAATGCATTTAGGGGAGAGCAGGGCCACATATTGGTAATGACTTTTATGAATGAGATGTAGATAGAGACATTTACATTTCAATCCTAAATGGCTAAGTCAAAAGCACAGTGAGATCTAATGCAAGCCTCTTTCAGTGTGAAATATCAGCTTTGAGAGTTTGGATATTGCAGGTGGCGCTTTTTAATTTCAGGAAAGGCGAAAAAGGCTTTTTCCCTTTTGAAACGCAACCTGCTATTTAGCAATTGGGGATGAATATGAAATCAACATCTCAGTTTTGTTCACATGTGAGACATTGCCTCACAGTGCGCCACAAGCTGTTGCCTGGAGACAGCAGTTGGCCCTTCCGTCATCTTGCCGTCTAATCCGTTCGGTGGGGTGCACAGGGGTCCATTTCAGGACATGAAACACCTCCTACTGTACTCCTCAGGATGATTTGGCTTTGTGAAGGAATAACTAAGCCGAAACAACGGTATCTGCAGGTGCTTTGAAAGCAGTGAGAAGGCGGCATCCCATAGTATTTTGCTGTGCTATGATAATACAGCATATTTATTATTATTAATATTTTTTTTTTGTTTGGAAAACGTTGTACCGCCATCCAGTGGTCAAGTAATAAATTGCATGTCCTGCTGCTTCTGATACACTAAAAATATTTTGGCCTAAATTTAAGATTTATGTATTTGTACTGGATATAAAATGTAAGTTTAAGTCATAAACTTACAAATAAACTTAATGTGGTGCATATTTGTCATTCATACTTAAATTTTACTGATTTATGCAGTGCTACAAATAAACTGAATGTTTGAAAAAGATTTATGTCGATTCTAAGCAATTTGAATGCATTTTGAAAATGTGATAACTTATTTAAATAAAACTTGTTTTTATTTCTTTAATCTTTAAAAAAAATGATTATATTTTTTTAATACAGAAATCTTACCTGTGTACCTATTTCATCTATATGACTGACAAATATGCATAACAGTAAGTTTATTAGTTTATGTTAAAACTATGTACTTCAAATGGGCCAAACTTAACTTAAAAAATGTTTTTATTTTATTAAAAAAATATTTGTATTTTTTTTAGTGTACATTTGTGACCCTGCAGCACAAAAGCAGTCTTAAGTCACTGGGGTATATTTGTAGCAATAGCCAACAATACATTGTATGGGCCAAAATTATAGATTTTTCTTTTATGACAAAAATCATTAGGATATTAAATAAAGATCGTGTTCCATGAAGATATTTTGTAAATGTCCTACAGTAAATATATCAAAACTTAATTTTTGATTAGTGATATGCATTGCTAAGAACTTCATTTGGACAACTTTAAAGATGATTTTCTCAATATTTTGATTTTTTTGCACCCTCAGATTCCAGATTTTCAAATAGTTGTATCTCGACCAAATATTGTAACAAACCATACATCAATTGAAGGCTTATTTATTCAGCTTTGAAAAAAATTGACACTTAAGACTGGTTTTGTGGTCCAGGGTCACATTGGTAAAATGTAATATTTTAAACATTGCTGTTTATCAATGGTGACACCAACAGATGTAACAGACTAGAACTTCATCTTCATGCTGCCAACAGAAAGGTTTTTACTTTAAGGTCACGGTGACATTCCTGCATGTCCTGTAACTGCCTCAGCATGTTAATGATTATAACATAATAGAAGTGAATATAGCAGGATATGGGTGTGAGAGATAGAGGGTTTACGGATTAGAGGGGTATTATGTATCGTCTCTAAATATATGTCTGTATGTGACCTGGCAGAGTGTCTGAAGAAGCACAGAGCTGATAAATCTCATTTCACAGATAGTCCAGCAGTTGTGAGTTTAAGATATTCAAATGCAGCCACAATATTTTCTTCATAGACTTCATTTGAGATGTATTGTATGGAATGTTACAGGCTTAATACAGGCTGAGCTCTAGTACCACAGAAAATGAGGTCAATGCTAGGCCCCTCAGTTTGTAAAAACATAATCATGCATGAGACCAGACAAAAATCACTTACTGGCATTAGTTTTGATCTAATATTTAATAACTCCTGTTATGAAACTGGTCAATCTGGTAACTTTATATGCACAAGGATATCAGAAAGCGACTGTTCAAACAGAGAAAAGTCTGAACATAATATGTAGTTACGTCTGTAACCGCTTGTGAAATAGAAGTACACTTCAGCATCTTTCTAAAAAGAGTACTTGTTACTGACATAATATACTCTACTAATATACTAAACTGAGTGTAATGTTTTTGTACATTTAACTGTGTGTTATTTGCAATTAAATGAAAATATATTATAGTTTAAATTAATATTAAATGCAGTTAGTTGAACTTTAGAGTGGTGCTTGACCCACTTAAATAGGACTTAAATACATCTATATTTGTCTTTGAAATATAGTTAAAGTATAATGCTGAACGTACTGAGAAGTATTTATAGTAAACTGTTATGTGTTTAAATATATATGCATTTACACATTTATAATGCTGAAGTTGCAATTTAGTACTGTATTAACTAATTAATATTTAATAATACACTATTGTTCAAATTACCATGACCATTGCGGCGTCTGAAGAAATTTTTCATGCTTAAAAGTCCAGTGGCTTAACTTGAACCTGGAACATTCATTAAAAGTTTTAGATCCTTCACAATCTCTATTTACTTTGCTCTTTGCACATAAAAGATTTCAACAACATAGGTTCATTTATTGCACACTTTTATCATTTTGCAAACAGATCTTCACAGTAACGATGCCTAAGAGAGGAAAAGAAAACTGAAGCAAATTTTTTTGCTCCAAAAACAGCCGCTTGGATCAATATATCATATTTACAGATATGTACAGAAACACTGAGAGTATTAGGAACATTTTTGAGTCTGTTTGGCTAATAGAAGCCTTGACCATCCCATAATTACTTACTGCCAATAAAAAAAACACACCTTTGAGTCTTATATAGTTTAACACCTAAAAAGTCCGTTTGTGAATAATCCCAAAACATTAAAGTTTCTTGAGCATTGCACAGGCACTGGGGTTAAACACAAAACACACGTGGCCCCACACTTTACACAGAGCAGCCAGACTATCAGATCATCTTTACAATGTCTGTGAGGAACAGGGACTTCATTTAAAACCCCCCAAAAGACCTAAAACCCCAATAAGATTTCCTCACAAATGAACTCACTCTTAAAAAATAGCAATGTGAGCTTTTAACATACAACACATGACTGTCTACTTCAAAAAGTTTCATTTAGCAACCAACTAAAACTTCTTTAAAGTGTGATGGCATGAATATGAGTGAATGAATGAGACTGGAAGTGGCAACCGCCACTGCTAGAAAGATTAAAGGCACTCTATTGCCTTTTTGGCCATAGTTTACACAATACAAAAGAAGCTGAAAACATGTTTAATGACTTCTGTTGAAAGGTCAGTATAAGTGACTAACGCCGAAAAACTGAACAAAACAGTGGGAAGGAAATAATGTCATATAAAAAAAATCAATCACCATTACACCATGTCCTAACCACAAGTAATTTGCTAATCAGTGCTGGATTCATGAATGATTCTTAAGACTAATGTTTTTCTTCTTATTTTGCAACCTAAGAAAAAAAGTAAGAACGTTTTAGTCAAAAACACATTTAAAAAAAAATATTTTTCTACAGGCAAAACTTGAAGAATTAGAATTCCTGAAAAGAATAGTTTAGTAACCATTGTAAATAACCCTCTATTTAGGATAACCTCCATATGATCTTAAATCCACAAAGGCAAGATGTGTAACAAATTTACTGGGTTGTTTCAAATATTAAGCAATATTAAGAAATACCTTATAATATCCATATAAGACAGCACTGATTGATAAACAATGTTCGGTCGTGATTATGTGTGCATGACTTTTTATTGAATTCCAAATTCAGTAACAACTCTACAAAAAGTACTCAATCAACTACTAATAAAAATGAGTTCCCTATTTATGACATTATTTCTTCAGATTATTTTCTTGAATCCGGCCCCAGAACACACATGCATTCTATTCAGCTCGGAAAGTCAACATTTCTAAAATCTTATTTTGGAAAAGTGCAATGGAATGCTACTTCCAACTTAAAAGGATAGTTCACCCAAAAATGAAAATTCTATCATTAATTACTCACCCTCATGTCGTTCCAAACCCGCAAGACCTTCATTCATCTTCGGAACACAAATTAAGATATTTTTGATGAAATCCGAGAGCTTTCTGACCCTCCATAGACAGGCAAAGGTACTACCACGTTCAAAGCCCAGAAACATAGTATGGACATTATTCAAAATTACGGTTGAACCACTGATGTCACATGGACTATTTTAACAATGTCCTTAATACCTTTTTGGGCCTTGAACGTGGTAGTTACCTTGCTGTCTATGCAGGGTCAGAAAGCTCTCAGATTTCATCAAAAATATCTTAAATTGTGTTCCGAAGATGAACAAAGGTCTTGCGGGTTTGGAACGACATGAGGGTGAGTAATTAATGACAGAATTATCATTTTTGGGTGAACTATCCCTTTAAGGAGATTTGTGTACAGTAGATTAGGGTGTATGATCACACAAAAATTGCGGCACACAGGGAGATGTAAAACAGGTGTGTAAAACACGGTGATTGATCCTCTCTGGTAATAATCACAGAACACTGGTGGCCATCATGTAACCATGGAACACCTGCAAAGCTAACAAGAGCATTTGGTTTTCTATGTCATGTTCTGAACACTGACCAATGAAACGGATGAGAGATCAGATCCCACTTCTGACTGAATGGAGCGCAACATAATACACAATTATGGGAAGCAGGATTTCGGACCAGTGAAAGTTCACTGTTGGAAACTCCAGAAACAGGATTCGACTCCTCTGGTCTCGTTGGTCAGCTGGTTAGGACAAAAACTCTTTTTAACATGAAATAACTTTGCTGGTTGTTTCCTCTTAGGACACAGTGTCAGTTCCCCTACACATCCTATTGGTTTGTTTCATTCCCTCGAGCCTGTGCCCTACTCTATAATTAAGCACTGAAATCACTCCACCAGCGGAGACATGAGAAACCTGCAGCGTGAAGTACAACTAACATCATTATGAACTTACGCTAGCATAGCATCAGCCGATCCTTAAGGTTCTCATTAAGAGAAAGCAGGTGTATTCAGCATGAGGCCTGAGATGGGAAAAACACTGACTGTGGGCACAGGAACCAATCAGCGTGATTCTCTCGTTCTCCGCGGAGACATTTAAACACGTGCTTCACTGCTGAATAACCTCAAATGAAGCACACACTTCACCTCTGAATTTCCCTAAGTGAAAGAACAAATGAGCCGAATATGACACGATGACTGAAGGCGATGAGTGGTAGGAAATGATGTTGAATTGTGAACGCACAGGGAAGGATGTGTTTAAGCGTCCTCGCACAGTAGTACTATTACTATTAAAGCTCGTTTACGTGCCCTTATGTCGAAGACCTTCATGAGCACAGTAAATAACAGTTGTGTATTTGAATATATAGATCGGAGTACCAAAACCACACTCAAATCTGTTCCAACTTTTGGTTCCAACTCTTCTGTACACTCGCCAACTCGAAATATGCAAATGTCATAAATTATATCAGCAGACTTGTCGAACAAACCAGGTTGCAACAGAAAAGTCTGTACTGCAGCTCCGAGCACAGCTCAAACACAAGCCATCCAGAAACAACTCCTTCATCCCAGAGTTCCTCTGATAGCTGTGTCAGCTGCGTCACATATGATAGGGTGGCTCCTCAGAGGCATTGGTGGTGTGGAATTCACTGAATTCAGAGTGTGACTTGAACACAAGCCTCAGTGGGGCTCATGGTGGGGAATTGACTGGAGGGAACACTACCTCCCTCTATGCGCCTGGTGGTGGTGCGAGGAGGGCTGTCCCTCCAGGTCATTCTCCACCACTGATAAGAAGCCTTCTTTCTCCGCGCAGTCGGCCAGCACCTTGAGCACCAGGCGCAGGCGGCGGTCCATGGCCTCCAAGTGGGGCCGGATGAGTATGGGTGCCAACTGGTCCTGCAGTAGCGATTCCTCCATTAGAGAGCTCAGCTTGAAGTCCTCTTTAGCCAACAGCTGTAGCCGCAGGTACGTCGACCTCTTCACTCTGAGAGAGAGAACGGTAGAAGGTATAACTCCGCATCAGCTGATCTGTTTAGTATACAGAGCTCTATGAAAATACAGGCGGAATTGTAAAATCCATTTACTGGATTTATTTTAAACGAGTGCCAAATGAGCATTTTTAGAACAGTGTGTTGTTCGCGAGATTCTGCGAAAGACACAAGGCGCGAGTGTAACGGGCAAATGTCTAACGAATGTTTACATAGAAAAACAATGTAAAAGTAGTGCAGTGGAATGCAAAATGTGTTTGGTGTGAATGGCCCCTTAGAATAGCAAAATTAGCCACATTCAGAATGTTAGCAACAAAGTAGTGTGTACTATGACCAGCGTGCAGAATTATGCAAATTGGGACACAGTCAGTGTTTTTTTGCAACCATTCATATAGATTGTTCTAGCAAGAATAACATCAGCCACAGGAAATAAATGTAAATGTGCAATAAAGGATACAGCTAGAATAACAGAGCACAGCAGACAGCAGGATGTGGTTGTGTTGGTGCTATACTGAATTACTGCACTGCAGTCACTCTCTCAGTTGGGAGGCTATTGCCTCAATTCAAGAGATGTCTGAAAGTGGAGAAAAACAATCTTACCTGCAGCACTGAGTCAAAGGGACCAGGATGGACATTTCATCATGTGAATGCTTTCCAAATCTGAGGGGTTAGAGAGAAACAGAAGTCAAATGTCTGATATTTTTAAATGGTTCTCTTGTGAAAAAGTGTGCTTAATTGTATTGAATGTGCACTTTTAGCGTATTTCAAATCTTAAAAGCATATTTTTTTTAAAAACTACTTGCAGATAATGTAATATTAATGAAATAAAAGGCCACTTAAGTACACTTAGGGTGTACTCACACTATGCGTTTTGAACCGGTTCATTTAGCCGTCCCTGGCCCGGTTGGAAGATGAGGGCCAGGGCACGGTTCGGTTGGGTTCGGGCGCGGTACGCATGCAGTGTGAGCGCTAACCACGCCGGAGCACGGAACAGATACTATTTTGTGTGCGCTACTGCCATCATTACGACCGCAAACATATACTATTACTACTACTATATATAATTGCGCTCGGGCTCGGTTCAAGGCAACCGTGCCTAGTGTGAGTACACCCTTAAAGAGAGACACTTTCATGTCTCCGAGCGCTCCTCCCACAATGATAAAATATTGGGGAGTTACTCGTTCAGTGGCCAGATTAAAGCTGGATTGGCTACAGGAGCAAGAGACCCCCAAACGGTCCAAACTAGATGACAGGTTTCTGTCAGGGGCTCAGGGGGAGGGACCTCAGCGATGGTATCTCCCCTTATTTGGTGTTCTCCATGATGAGATAACTAGTTCATGGAGTAAGCAATATTCGTCCCGTGTCTTTGTGCCCTCAACGACAATTTATTTGACTATCATGGATGCAAAGGCACGGGGCTACATGATGATGCCCCAGGAGGAAGAGACGCAAGCAGGCTATCTCCCTCCTGCAGTTGCGTCATCACTCAAAAAGCCAATGCTCCCTACCAAGCCATGTAGAGCAACATCTATGGGGATGCGTTTCAGGCAGAGGGTAAGGCTGGTGCTGCCCTGCACACCATGGCGGTTCTGCAGGCATACCAGGCTGACCTGTTAAAGGATCTGAGCGTGAGCGGGGATACTGAGGAGGAAGCATTTTTAGAACTTCGCTGAGCCACAGGTATGACACACCATACAGACCCAGTTCCCTGTCAAGTTGTTTCAGTGCTGGAGTTCCTGCAGGAGAAAATAAATGTCCCCAGGTACATGTCCTGGTACTCTCAGAGTCTATGAGGCCACCAGTTCAGCTTGCCACGCTCTGATTGTGGGAGATCACCCTTCATAGTCGCACGCCTCAATCGAGGAGCTAAGTGGTTGAAGCCGCCCGCCAGCGCGACAGTCTCATCGTGGGACTTAGCTGTAATGCATGAGGGTCTGGTTGGGACCTCTTTTGAACCACTAGAGTCAGCGCCTGTCAGGCTTCTGACTCTGAAGATTTTCTTTTTCTCATGGATATTAGTACTCTAAAAAGAATTGGGGATTTGCAAGCTTTGTTAGTCTCACCATCCTCCTTAGATTTGCCAGTCCATGCTCTTCAGATTTAGGTCCACCGAACCAGTCAGTGGTGTAAGTCGGGGCAGCTTTTCAAATGCTATGGGGACCGCAACCAGGGGGCGGTTGTCACATTTCCCTAGCCCAGTGTTTCCCAACCTTTTTTTAATCGCGGCACCCTTTGGAAATTTTAACAAACTTGTGGCACCCTACAAAATTAATATTTTAGCAATTTAAAAATATAAAAAAATTATTTTTTTACACAGCACCCCTGCTCTAGACAGACGGCACCCCGGTTGGGAAACACTGCCCTAGCCTATGAGGCACGCGGTCAAGCTTTGCCTCTAGGAGTTCATTCAACCAGGGGGAGTTGCATCTCCTAAGGCACTAGCAAGAGTTGTCCTTGCAGCAAGTGTGTGGTATGTGGCAGGCAAGTCCTCCCCGCACACGTTCATCAGATTCTATAGTTTGGATGTCCATGCTACTCCAGGCCCACATGTCTTTGAGCCACTTCCCAAAGTCATTTCTGAGACCTCTTCAATGTTTGTGCGCACACACTACACAAGGTCCATTTCACGTCTATTTATAACCTCTCAGGTGCACGCATTCCAATGATGTCACCGACCGAGGTTATTTAAGCCAATTCTTGGCGTATTTGACACACATGCTTCACAACCGGTCGGAAAAAGAATGTTCTCATAAGCATTAATGAAACGCAGCATCTCATTCCCACTTTTTCAGGGAACAGGGTTACAGTCAAGTAACCCGAGACGTACACTTTAACCATATTTCAAAGACAAATGAAATAATTATGAAATTACATATAAAGATGTACTTCAGTCCTACTTAGATGGCTCAAAAAGTTCAGCTAATATACATTTAAAATATAATAAATTTTCAATTAATTGCAATTAACATGCAAATAAGTGTCCAATATTGCATTAAATTCACACTTCAGTATATTATTTTAAAGTATATAATTACCATATTAAAGAATGCTAAAGTGTACTTTGTTTTTACTAGGGTAAAGATACTAAAACTCTCAACAACCATTTCCAGCATACTTGTAGTGTGATATGCAGTTTCTATAAACTTATTTAAACTTTACCAGACATAAAAGTTAGAACATGAAGAACTCACCAAATTGTACATTCAGGTCTTTATTTAAGACGAAATAAAACCCAGCTCATAACATGGAAACTTAAGTCACTTTTTGTTGTTATACATTCATCTTGCGCTATTACTTTCATATTGGTATGTCAAATTGCACAGCACATTACTGCCGTGGTTCAGTGGGGCATGTTTTTGAAGGCCATATCTTGCCATTTACTGTTATATTTTTATTTATATATTATTTTGGTGACACTTTAGAATTTAGTTGACACCTTGCAACATATTTGTAGCAGGAAAACCCCATCAGCAATACAGTTCAGTATAAATTTAACACAAATAGAAGAAAATACATGTAAATTTTAGTCGAGCCTTAGATTAATCTGGCATTGAAAGAAATATGGCGTTTCACAGTGGCCTACTTCTCTACATAAAAAATGTAGAGAATGAAAAAGCAGCCACTTCAGCCGAGCAGAATGTCAGTTTAATCAAAATGCTTTATCTGTGTGAGCACCTGTGTGACTTCTACCCACTGCAGCACACATATTACACCCTGAGACACGACGCCATATCAATCTGACCTTCCACTCAACATCTACATATTCCCGTCTTATAAGATAGAAACACTCTGTTTCCATGGTTTCGGTGTCAAAAGGAAGTGGCTGTGGAGTCATGTGGAGCTTTGAGGAGTGAGGTGTGAAGGACGGAGGGGACGTTATATGATAATAAAAATGGCTTACCCTCTGCCGTTGTCCAAATGAATAATGAAAGTCTCATTTCCAAACTTCTCAAAAGTCTCGTAATGGTGGCGATCCATGTTGCCTGTTCAGTGTGAAAATGGAGAGAGGGAGAGTGAAATACAGGAGGATTGATGTGGGATGTTGAACTAATAACTCTTTCAGTCTTTAGTTATGATAAAAGGTAGTCTATCGCTCCTTTAAGTTAAGTTATATTCAACAGATTCCAATTCTGCAGTTGATCATTTTAGTCATCTTCATGACTAATCAGTTAACACTTGAATCAGAATCTTTATTTATCCACACACAACCAGGGCTGGAGGAGTTGGTTTCCATGGTGTTCACACAATGGGCCTCATTCATGAAACATTCGTAAATATAGGAGTAAATTCGGAGTAATTTGCGCATAAAACGGACCTTCCCGAAAACTCTCCTCCGGATTCACAAACGCTTCGTACACATCAGATTTGATAGTTAAACATGTGTATGTTAATGAATTCCAATCATTCGTAAATAGGGCGTTCGTGCACGCTCATTCACAATTAGCATAATCTCCACCTATGAATTACAGCTACGTAAATTGCGTGCCCAGGAACGCAGTGGAATATTCTGGTCTACTTTCTCAGGTTTGGCTCCAGTATATTCCATAATGCAAAAAACACTAATAGGCCATATGCCTAACAATAAATATTCAATAACGTGTGTCCACCAAAGCGTTTTTAGCCAGCTGAAAAACTGTCAGGCGCTCTTCTTAAAACAGCCAGTTGGTGGTGCTGGAGAACGCTTTGGTGGCACAGCGTTTTTCTAGCTGAGAGACGCTTTGGTTAGAGGTCTGCATTCGGCCCTCAGACAGAACAGGCAGGTTGTTGATGAGTGACAGAGCAGAATAAGGATGGAGCAAAGTGTGGATGCCCTGTCCTTGAAGGATGTTAAACTCGGTTTTGTTTATATTTTGCTTAGCCTATAATTTTAAATGAAAGATTTTTCTCTGCGACACTTTTCCTACTGTGTTAACAGAAAATGTCAAACTAATTTAGTATTTTGACAAGACGAATAAAAATAGCGAATAGGCTATTTTTGTACAACCTAAATTTTTATTTTTTTTCTCTCTGCGACACTTTTTCCCTATTGTGTTGTCAATGTTAAACGAATCGTATCCTGACAAGACGAATAAAAATAAGAAATACAATTTTTGTACAACATTAATTTTTTTTTTCCTACTGTTGCATAAAATATTAAACAAATTTTGTGTCTTAAGATAATTAATATAAATTCAAGTCAAAGTCAATAAATTCAAGACTCTTGACGAGACGAATAAAATAACAAAAGTTTGTGCAGACCACACTTTTATTTGTCAGCCTATCTCTCTTTCTTTCAGTAAGCGGATATTTAAATGTGAGATTCTGGAAACGAGATCTAAATTTAGCGGGAACGGTCGGGTCGGGAAGAAAATTATTCTAAGCAGACAGCGGGTGAACAAAGAGTGAATATATAGCGGGAGCGGGTGGGTGCGGAATAGAACCTTGCGGGATTTTTTCCTACTGTTGCATAAAATATTAAACAAATTTTGTGTCTTAAGATAATTAATATAAATTCAAGTCAAAGTCAATAAATTCAAGACTCTTGACGAGACGAATAAAATAACAAAAGTTTGTGCAGACCACACTTTTATTTGTCAGCCTATCTCTCTTTCTTTCAGTAAGCGGATATTTAAATGTGAGATTCTGGAAACGAGATCTAAATTTAGCGGGAATGGTCGGGTCGGGAAGAAAATTATTCTAAGCAGACAGCGGGTGAACAAAGAGTGAATATATAGTGGAAGCAGGTGGGTGCGGAATATAACCTTGCGGGAGCGGGACTAAAAAAACAGTCCTGTGCAGACCTCTACTTTGGTTGCTATGATTTGAAATATCCACGGCAGTAACGTATTACTAGTATCTCATTTTGAAGAATATTACTGAATATGAAAATGCAGTAACCAGCAATATTAACTTCTCTATTGCTGTTCAGTTGTTGTACAAGTAGGATGATTGGTCGATTGTCCCGCCCCTCCTCCATTGATTGGACGGCTGGGTAAAAAGCGCTGCATTTTACCCAAAGCTAAACAGTTTATCAACCCTCAGCTACAAAAAAAAAAAAAAACGCGCAAACGAACTTATTATAATGGCAGTGCTCCCGTGGTAGGGAGCAGGTGTAAATTTCTTTCCTACCAACTAACATTTTGAAAATACGAAAATTTTCATGAATTCGAAAGTTTACGTCAGAACGACCTTACGAACGATTTACACAAAAATCCGTTCTGCTCGTGTTTCATGAATGAGGCCCAATGTCCTTACAGAAAAGCACCATGAACTTCTGATGAACAGGGGAAATTCCCCCAGATCAACCCGAGGTTAGCAGCCTCGCTCAAGGGCACACGGCTCATGAACGGATCAAAACACTCTCAACTTCAGAGACCACCCACAGTCTGCTCATAAACTCACAATTGAGACCTTCTATATTGCAATTGTGACTTTATTGAAATTGAGACTTTATACTTTACATAATTGTGACTTTATATCTCTGTATTTATATCTCAATACTGACTTTATTCCTCAGATTGGAGTCTTTACACTTCTAGTTGTGACCTTATATTTTGCAGTGTGACCTTTATCACAATGTGACTATACTGTTTTAATCCCACAATGTGACTTTATATCTCCCTATTGAGACTTTACATCTCAAAATGTTAACTTTATTTCTCAAAACTGAGACTTTATAGTTTTAGTTAGTGACTTTATTTCTTGTAGTGACATTTTTATCTCACAATGTGACTTTATATACATTTTTATTCCACAATGTTACAATATAACTTTATTATAATGAGTCATTTTATAACTTTTGTAATTGTGATTTTGTCTAAAAAGTCACTGTATTTCTCGAAACTTAGACTTTATATCTCCCCTTTGTGACTTCATATCTCAGTGTGACTTCCTTACCTCACAATGTGACTTCTGCAGTGTGACTTTATATCTCAGTTACTTTTTTATAATCTTGCAGTATCTTTATTTCTTGCGATTTTACTGTATGTCTCCCAACAGTGAATTCTGTGCAATTCAACCTTTTTTTTATCTCACAATGTAACTTTTTAATATAAGTGTGTCTTTTATCTTGCAATGTGACTTTATATTTCACAGTGATTATTTTTTTAATTTCTTGTAATGTGACTGTATATCTCCCAAATGACTTTCTCACAATACAACTTTTTTTCTTTATTTCTTCCTCAGTGTGACTTTATATCTTCCTATTGTGACATATCTCAAAATTTTGACTTATTTCTCGAAATTGACTTTATATCTCACAGCGTGACACATCTTACAATGTGACTTTATATCTGCCAGATGTGTTTATCTTGCAATGTGACTTTATATCTCACAGTGACTTTTTTTTAAAACCTTGCAATGCAACTTTATTTGCTTGCAATGTGATTGTATATCTACCACCTGTGACTTTCTCACAGTTCGACTTTATCTCACATTGTGACTGTATATCTCCTAAATTTGACAGTTTTTAATCTCAAAATGTGATTTATTTATTATTGTTTTTTTACCTCACATTGTGACTTTATAAACACATATCACAATGTGTCTATTTCTTATTTTTAAACTTGTATATCACAATGAACTATTTATTTTTTACACTAAGGCAAAAACGGGCTTTCATAGTTCATTGGCCATATTAAGCAATGTGATTTGCTGGCTAATGCACAGGTTTTTATCAATTGCCACTATAGGGGCATGTTGTCACAAAAGTTGTGTCCAGTGAACTGTGTCTCTTTCTTGGGCAATAATGGAAAATGTTCAATTTTATATAAGACTTCACGAGTCTACACAAACATTTAATTAAAAAATGCAAAAATGTAAAAATAAATTTACACCGAAAAATACGTACGGGAGTAAAAAGTAATTTTCTACCCAGTTTCCCCTACTTCTAAGCAAAATTGTATAAACACGTTCAACACTTACCCATTAGAAAGTCAAAAATAGTCATGTCCATGATGTCCAGAAGTCGTGTGCCTCGGTCATACGGAGGAGTCTGTTTGACTTCATCACAATAATCCTGATCCACTTCCCACCTTACAACAGAGAAAACAGCTAAGAAACTCTCTTCACCTTTAAATTTGAGCTGCATTTTGCCCCTTCTCATATATAACCCTACTAGCGTACAACTGCCATCTCAAACAGGATGGCCCATTGTTTTACTGCACAGATAGGATTTCTCTGAGAGTAAGTGAGAACCGCAGTAGTCTTTTTTGCTGATAAAGCCAGACTGTAGTTTAATGAAGATATGGGGTGGTGCGTGGAGACCGGAGATAAAGCGGAGAAAAAGAGCTTACTCAGCTTTCTTGCGTTTGTGGTAGGAGCGGCGCCAGGGGTTCCTCCAGGTCTTGCGCTTAGCTAGTGCCAAGTCAGGAAGAAATGCAGCCAGGGAGCCCTCGATCTGGTCGGGCTTCCCACATAGAGCATGCTCTGTGGAGCAGTAGTAGGAGCACTCGCCGTAGAAGCAGATGTTGTTGGCTGCAGGAGTGAGGAAGAAAGGGTCTCAGGAAAGAGAAAACTGTTCTTGTGGGTTTTAAAATAGACCACCACTGAGACAAAGAGAAAGGAAAAGTCCCTCCGGAGTAACATGGGGTTAAGTGTCTTCAAGTACACAATGGTAATAGCTCATTGATTGCCCATTACTGGGTTTGAACCTACAACCTTTCGGAATCCCCAGATATTTAAGTCAAGTTTTATATAACGTGAAGCAGCTGTTTTTCACTGATGCATTGATTTTTAATTAATAAATAATCTTATATTTTGGTTTGCGTTCATAAAGTTAAATAATATTAATAATAATAATAATAATGGTCGTGAGATAGCGTTGGTTTGACTTATCTCTTAATGTTACTGAATATCTCCTAAATTTGACTGTTTATAATCTACATTTTTTTTTACCTCACATTGTGACTTTATATCTCACAATGTCTCTGTTTCTTATTTTTAAACTTGTATATCACAATTAACTTTTTTTATTTATTTATTTTTTAATTTTTTTATTCTATTTTTTATTTTCATAGTTCATTGGCCATATTAAGCAATGTGTCTGGCTGACTATTACACAACTTCCAGGAGACAGAATGCATAAGTTTTTATTAGTTGCCACTATAGGGGCATGTTGTCACAAAAGTTGCATCCAATGAACTGTGTCTCTTTCCTGGGCGATAATGGAAAATGTTAAATTTTATATAAGACTTCATGAGTCTACACAAACATTTAATTCAAAAATGCAAAAATGTAAAAATAAAGTTACCCTAAAAAAAGAAAAGTAATTTTTTCCCCAGTTTCCCCTATACTTCTAAGCAAAAGTTTATAAACACATTTTAAACATGTTCAACACTTACCCATTAGAAAGTCAAAAATAGTCATGTCCATGATGTCCAGGAGTCGTGTGCCTCGGTCATACGGAGGAGTCTGTTTGACTTCATCACAATAGTCCGGATCCACTTCCCACCTTACAATAGAGAAAACGAATAAGAAACTCACTTCACCTTTAAATTTGAGCTGCATTTTGCCCCTTCTCATATATAACCCTACTAGCGTACAACTGCCATCTCAAACAGGATGGCCCATTGTTTTACTGCACAGATAGGATTTCTCTGAGAGTAAGTGAGAACCACAGTAGTCTTTTTTGCTGATAAAGCCAGACTGTAGTTTAATGAAGATATGGGGTGGTGCGTGGAGACCTGAGATAACGCGGAGAAAAAGAGCTTACTCAGCTTTCTTGCGTTTGTGGTAGGAGCGGCGCCAGGGGTTCCTCCAGGTCTTGCGCTTAGCTAGTGCCAAGTCAGGAAGAAATGCAGCCAGGGAGCCCTCGATCTGGTCGGGCTTCCCACATAGAGCATGCTCTGTGGAGCAGTAGTAGGAGCACTCGCCGTAGAAGCAGATGTTGTTGGCTGCAGGAGTGAGGAAGAAAGGGTCTCAGGAAAGAGAAAACTGTTCTTGTGGGTTTTAAAATAGACCACCACTGAGACAAAGAGAAAGGAAAAGTCCCTCCGGAGTAACATGGGGTTAAGTGTCTTCAAGTACACAATGGTAATAGCTCATTGATTGCCTATTACAGGGTTTTAACCTACAACCTTTCGGACTCCCCAGATATTTAACCCAAGTTTTATATAATGCGAAGCAGCTGTTTTCCACTGATGCATCAATTTGTAATTTATAAATAATTATATCTTTTGGTATGCGTCCATCAAGTTTCAAATAAAATAAAAATTTATCAAGAATTATTATTATGTGATACATACCATTACCATGTTGTTAAGTAAATACTGTAAGCACAAAAGACTCAAAATAGTAAAACTCCCCTCAAATTTTAAAATTATATTTAACTAAACTGTGCTTAGAGATAATTGAATACTATTGAAATAAAAGGGCACTTAAGTGTAATTAAATGAGATACACTTTCATAACTATGTTTCTTAACATACTTAAAGTATCTTACAGTTGCATACTCACAATACTTTTAAAAAGTACACTTTGTAATAATGTCAAATTACAAGTTTTACTTTAAAGTACATTTTAAATCATTATGTTTAATAATCTTTTGTCTTGCTACACTTATTTTGATGTTGACTGACATACTAAAGCACATGTAAAGTACTTGATTATAAATACACGACATACAAGGTTCAATAGAAATGACATTAAAGTATATTTTAGTTTATGATAAGTGCTTGTCAGTACATTCAGAAGTACACTTTAACCATATTTCAATGCACGATTAAAGTAATTATGAAAAGACAAAGATGCACTACTTAAGTGGGTTAAAAGCACTCTAAAGTTCAGTTTTGCATTTAACATAAATTGAATACACGACATACAAGGTTCAATAGAAATGACATTAAAGTATAATATATATTAGAAGTACACTTTAACCATATTTCAATGCACGATTAAAGTAATTATGAAAAGACAAAGATGCACTACTTAAGTGGGTTAAAAGCACTCTAAAGTTCAGTTTTGCATTTAACATAAATTGAAACTATAATAAATATTCAGTTAATTGTAAATAACATGCAATTAAATGTCCGAAAGCAGCCCTTTTTCAGTAATAGCCGCACATATGTATCTTTGTGGCAGGAAAAACAGTTAACACATATACCGGCGTTATACCGACAAGCCCTGGCCGTAAACACATTTTAAAGCAACAACATGCTAACTATGACAATCTTTTGTGCAGCAGCCTTGTTTATAGAGTTAATACAGATTGTAGAATATGGTTTTGAAATAGGTGACTTCTCCAGATGTGTCTTGATGTGATGAAGCTCTGTTGAAAAAAATCGCATATGCTGGTTAGGTATGTTTTGACGCTGGGATGCTGGTTTAAGCTGGTCCTTTGCTGGTTTATGCTGGACCTTTGCTGGTTTATGCAGGGTCCTTTGCTGGTTTATGCTGGTCCTTTGCTGGTTTATGCTGGACCTTTGCTGGCTTATGCTGGTCCTTTTGCTGGTTTAAGCTAGTCCTTTTGCTGGTTTAAGCTGGTCCTTTGCTGGTTTAAGCTGGTCCTTTGCTGGTTTATGCTGGTCCTTTGCTGGTCCTTCTGCTGGTTTAAGCTGGTCCTTTGCGGGTTTATGCTGGTCCTTTGCTGGTCCTTTTGCTGGTTTAAGCTGGTCCTTTGCTGGTTTATGCTGGTCCTTTTGCTGGTTTATGCTGGTCCTTTGCTGATTCAAGCTGGTCCTTTGTTGGTTTAAGCTGGTCCTTGGTCCTTTGCTGGTTTAAGCTGGTCCTTTGCTGGTTTATGCTGGTCCTTTGCTGGTTTAAGCTGGTCCTTTGCTGGTTTAAGCTGGTCCTTTGCTGGTTTAAGCTGGTCCTTTGCTGGTTTAAGCTGGTCCTTTGCTGGTTTAAGCTGGTCCTTTGCTGGTTTAAGCTGGTCCTTTGCTGGTTTAAGCTGGTCCTTTGCTGGTTTAAGCTGGTCCTTTGCTGGTTTAAGCTGGTCCTTTGCTGGTTTAAGCTGGTCCTTTGCTGGTTTAAGCTGGTCCTTTGCTGGTTTAAGCTGGTCCTTTGCTGGTTTAAGCTGGTCCTTTGCTGGTTTAAGCTGGTCCTTTGCTGGTTTAAGCTGGTCCTTTGCTGGTTTAAGCTGGTCCTTTGCTGGTTTAAGCTGGTCCTTTGCTGGTTTAAGCTGGTCCTTTGCTGGTTTAAGCTGGTCCTTTGCTGGTTTATGCTGGTCATGTGCTGGCAAAGGACCAGCATAAACCAGCATCCCAGCGTCAAAACATACCTAACCAGCATATGCTGGTTTTTTTAACAGGGAGGATGTCAGTGATCTAAAATGGTCAGATTCACCAAGGGCTCATTAAACACTGCTATTTAGCCAATGATGAATCACTGTGTATAACGCCTTTTTCAAATGTTTCCTGACACAGGTCCCCGGGGGAAGAGGAGCCCTTTCACTCGTTCCCACAAAAACACATTTGTCATGAAAAGTGGAGGCAGAATGCTAATGATAGCCCTGCAGAGAAAGAATATGGCCAATCTGTGTGCCTCATCCCAACGCTTACATCATCTAAATGTCGGTAATTTAGTTGCCAAACTTGCTGCACGTGTGTTATTGCATGCTTGTTACTCCCCAATTAAGAGCTGTAATTAGCATAGCATCTTGGCTAGGTGTTGTAAGCTGGTCTACGTTTGGTCTACTGCAAGCTTTTTGTGCTAATATTTAGTTAGTTAGTTAGTTTGACGGTTCTTTATGGACTTAGAAAAGAATTAAGCAGTCAGAAATACATATAGCAAGATGCTAACATGGCCGTATGTAAACTATGCAACACTTGCTAAATGCTAACACTTCTAAACCACATAGGCACAGGGAAGTTTGTCATGAAACTGAATGGCTGTCTTCATTCACAGAAATGTGGATTTTCCCACTGTTTGAACTCTATATGCGTGAGAAGCCAACAATCAGAAGGGGGGATGCATAGCCTGATGGGATAGAAGAAAAGGCTGTGTGGAAGCCACTCATACCTGGGGATACGAAGAATGTCCGCCAGAGCTTTTTGTCACGGGTCACGTCTCGGATCTCCTGTGTCATGTTCACCAGCCTGCCGGCCACCGGGGGAACTCTCCGGAAATCCAGGATTCTGTGCGCCACAAACAAGCGGCATTGTCAAATGATTTATTTGCAATGCATTATCAGATACAGCACCTGTGGTGTTTCTTCATGCAGACGTTGCACAGTTCACAGACTGCTTTATGAGAACAGTGACACCAGCCATTCAATCTCCTGCCGCATTCAATAATGAAGAAGCAACAATAAAGAGTGCAGAATATCCATAGAATAAAGCCATTTTTTAAAGTGGCTTGGTAACGATTTTTTCTTCAAGGTGCTACTGCTAAGCAACTGAGCCCGCTCTTTACTCCCTGGCTTTATGAGACCTCCGTGAATGCTCTTTATTAGACTTTTATTGGCATTTTAGCATCTGGCCACACACACCACAGGATATAAATGGTCTCTAGTTTCTCTCATTTCTTGTGTACTTGTGTTGGGCAAAATCCGAATTTGTCTCCTTTTCAATTATGAGTGATTTTTTTAATTAAACACGCCTCACAAGAAGTTTTCAAGAATTTGAACGATAGAGAGAGGAATTTACAGAATGCAATTTTAAGAAATTCAAAACATGATTTCCAATAAACCCACAAACTTCCATTATTAATTTGAAAAAACAAAAAGTGGTTTTTATCCCTTAACATGTACACTGTAAAAAATGATTGTGATTTTAACAGTAAAAGACTGTAAAAATGCTACAGTAAAAACCTGTTAACTGGTTAACAGTAAGTTTCCATACTATATTCCTTGAATAAATGTAATTGCATTTAATGTGATTTTCCAGTAAAATACTGTTAAAAATACGGTTTTTGGAAGTGAAAAAGAAAAAGTCATTGTATAATTTATGGTGAAAAAACGTAAATTGACACTCCCAGAATTCCCTGCATGACACTCATATTTGAGGTTTTTCTTATCAGTTGTGTACACTAGGGTTTAATCTTACATCTAATGTTGTTAAATGAATGTTTATTGCATTATTTCAGTATTGTGTGTGTCACTATGATGGTGTTTAGTTACTGTAAATGTCACAGATTTTTTTTTTACAGTGTAGAATAACATGTTTTACTCAATTACTAAACATACTTACAAATTAAATATAAATGTAGAATATTTATTATCCTCTCTCTATGCCTCCCACTCACGTCATTACGCCGCCACACGCTCGCGTCATGGTACTGTCGTGAATGCGCGTCCACAAGTGACGCAGTAGAGACGAAAATATGGAATAAAGTCGTTATTTTTGTTTTCTTTGCGCAAAAAAAGTATTCTCGTAGCTTTCGTAACTTTACAGTTGAACCACTGATGTCACACGGATTACTTTGTCGATCATCTTGGTACATTTCTGGACCTTGAACGTGGTAGTTACCTTGCCGTCTATGGGAGGGTCAGAGAGCCCTCAGATTTCATCAAAAATATCTTAAATTGTGTTCCGAAGATAAACGGAGGTCTTACAGGTTTGGAACGACACGAGGGTGAGTAATTAATGACAGAATTTTCATTTTTGGGTGAACTAACCCTTTAATCTCTCAGTCTTTGTCTGTGTGTGCAGTGGGCCGTCGTGGAGAAAATCCCACATCGTGTGGTGTGAGTGCTTTCAACATTAAACCTCCAAAGACTCATGGGCTCCTGGGCCCTGAGAGACAGAAACCCAAGCCTTTGAGATGAAACCACTCAGGGGTCGCAAGTTGCCGAGTCACTCTGGATGCGGGTGACAAAGAGCCCAGTGTGGAAACACTGCATTCTAGGAACATTCTGTCAGACGTTTGTGGAAATAAGAAGCGGAAGCTGCCAGTGGAGGAGGTTTCCATTGAAGGTGAGCGTACTGTAGCAGCACAACGTTTCTTGTAAAATGCCGCTGTTTCCACACGCTCTCACACTAATCGAATATCAATATCCATTTCACTAGCAAACATCCTCTCAGCGTTATCACTCAGCTGACAATGAATTGACATATCATACCATGCTTTTTCCTCTCCTAAATAAAATACATCATGGATATGACAGGCACTTCAAATGAGAGCAAATGAGAGATTCAGGAGGAAATTGAGTGGGTCTCACAAGCTCAATTAGCTCTCTGACTCCACAAAGCCTTTCTCTGTGGGGCTTCTTGTTAAAGTCAGCAGGGAGTTTCTTCTGACTTCTGACTGCACTCACATGCACCTTGTTACTTTCTGAGTAACTGTAAGGTGTATCGACTCTATCGCACTAAGTGCTTTTCAGGCCGTTGTCCAGAAGTCTTGAGTGACATGCGCAGAGCGGCGAGAATATAATAAGAGTTGGTTTGGCTTTCTGACATCACAATGGCGCGGGCGCGAGCGCTCTCGTGCGTAAATGTGAAATGTGGAGATGTGTGGGTGTGTGGTTATGGTTTCTTTTTCCCAGCCAACATCCATTCCAGAGCAGTATCATAGCACTACAGGTGTTTTCAGTGAAAGAACTGTGAGGAAGCCAAGCTGAAGGTCTCTGTAAGGGGAATTTCCTCTTAAAGGCTACTGGGGTGGTTGACTGCGGTTTGGATGAGCGTCATGCAGGCTACCAGATTGTAAGAGTACCAGACTTCTTCGATTTAAACCATAAAACAATATTTTTTAATAATGGACCTTTCTTAGAAACTTTTCTATTTATTGGTGGTGCATAAAAATTAAATTAAATAAAATTTAATAAAAATTTAAATTAAATTACCGTATTGACCCGAATATAAGAAGATGTTTTTTTATTGGAAATACATCTGAAAAAACGCAGTCGTCTTATATTCAGGGTCGTCTTATATTCGGGCCAATACGGTAAATTAAGAAATTAGAAAAATAGAAAATAAATAATAGTAACAGTTTACAACAAGGTTCCATTTGTTCCAGCATTCATTAACTACATTAGTAAACATGAACTAACAAAGAAATAAATATTCTAAAGTAATTACTATTGTAATTTCAGTATTTACTAATGCATTATTAAAATCCAAAGCTGCGTCTATTAATATTATTTAATGGACCTGAGCTGGCATGAGCTAACAACGAACAGTTATATTTTTATTAACTAACATTATCAAAGATTAATAAACACTGTAACAAATGAATTGCTCTGAAATGAACTGATGGGACCTTACTGTAAAGTGTTACCATAGTTATTATTATTAATAATAATAATAATAACATTTAACATAATAACATTTCCTTAAAAAGTAACTATAATTCTAAGAATAATGGGGGGAAAAAGTAGTAAATAATAGAAAATAGTACACAATAAAGTTCAGACAATAATGATGACATTCTCAAATACATTGGCAATCTAATATTGTCTAATATTGTCACTGTCAGACACCTTAAAACAAAATCCCAGACCTGTCATATCTAAACACCTCCAAACATTTCTGTCAAATGAAGATAAAGGCCGAGTAAACACAAAGTAAGCACAGTGGGATGCCAAGCATAAACTCTTGGCAATGCTTAATGTCACATGATCTCATTGTTATTCAGATGGTCTCTGCAAGTGGCAAACATACAATAAAATAAGCAATACAGCCAACAAAAACCGGAAACATCTTGCCCCGAAACTCTCACACTGGCCACTGGGCTGTCCTTCAGAGCCCTGCAGATAACGCTCTCCTTCTCTCTGTGTTTTACTCTTACCTGTCCAGATGAAATGCAGCGATCTCTGCGTTGTGTCGCTCAAAGTCAGAGAAGTAGAAGAAGTCTGGGGGTGTCTCTTGTTCCCTGGTTTGTCTAGAGGACAGAGTAGAAAAAAACAAGATTGGTGTTAGCTAGTGCTTGCAGAAGATAGAAGGCCTCCAGCAGTCTGTTGTGTCTATGCTAGCTTCGGGTACACTGTAAAAAATTATTGTGATTTTAACAGTAAAAGACTGTAAAAATGCTACAGTAAAAACCTGTTAACTGGTTACTTAACAGCAAGTTTCCATACTATATACGGTCAATAAATGTAATTACATTTAATGTGCTTTTACAGTAAAATACTGTTAAAAATAAGGTTTTTGGAAGTGAAAAAGAAAAAGTAATTGTATAATTTACAGTGAAAAACCGTAAATTGACACTCCCAGTTATTCCCTAGTTGATGTTTTTTGTTGAAATAACATGTTTCTTCTTAGTTTTTTCTCATCAGTTGTGTACACTAGGGTTTAATCTTACATCTAATGTTGTTAAATGAAAGTTTATTGCATTATTTCAGTATCACGTGTGTCACCATGATGGGGTTTAGTGTTTGTGTGAATGACACGGTGCACCTTCTATATATAAGTATTGCCCGCCTCAGCTCATAGAAAAGCTGTTTGTGATAAGTTTAGGTTCATCGTGGGACGTTATCATCACCACCAGTTTTTGGTGGTTATCAGTGCATTACAATGGTTCAAAACAGATATTAGTATTTCAATATGTTGGTTTATTAACATTACATCAGTTAATGAAATACGGTATTTTATTGTGAATTTAAGTTGTCTGTAAAACCTAAAATGTTGCTGCCATATTTTTTACGGTGAAGTTCTGGCAACCACAGCTGCCGGTATTTTACCGTAAATGTCACAGATTTTTTTTTTTTACAGTGTAGCTGTATTTACAAGCAGACATCCTGACACTAGCGGACAACAAATAGACAACATGGACGTCTGCCGAATGGGCCGCATGGCTGGATCAGCAACTAAAGGAATGTGTGTGTGTGTGTGTACAGAACAGATTTTGGCAGGAAACAAACTGCAGGTGCATGTTCTCTCCACGTACCTATGCGTTCAGACAGACAGATCACAAGACTCAGACAGACAGGCGCAGGAAAAAAAAGCCACAGAATCCAGACAGACATGCACTAAACCACTGATCTTAACTCTCAACCTCCTACAATGACATCAGTCTCAAACAGCTCATGGTATCTTTTACACGGTGCTTTCCTGAAAACAACTGTAAGATCTTTCCTGGAAGCGTTACGGAATGGGGTCAGAAAATGCTATGCTAGGCTAATGTTAGCTCAAAACACATCAGTTTGTAGGTGACTAACAAACAGAGGAAAATTGTATTGCTCAACGGTTGCTCATAACTGAATGGGGTTTCATTTAAGTATCAACTTTGTGTCTGCCAGCACTGATGTTTCTCCTCTGGAGAAGTTAAAATGAATCGACACAAATGAATTATTGACAGAGAATAACACTATAAAATGAATGTGGATATCATAACTCTGGTCTTAAAAGAATCTGATGAGAAATGTTTGAGCTCTTTCTGAAATGTGAACTTTGGTCTCTTGGCAAGGTTTGAGCCATCGTTGAGATCTCTTGTGAAAAAAATGAAAATTGCTTGTGTTTTTTTTATGCAAGAGAATAAGCCATCTCAGTATATTCGTGATTTTTCTTTCCTACAGGATGTCCTGCTTTTTTAAAAAGCCCCAGCCACCAGACCTCAATATCATGAGTTATTATATTAACTTTTAGCCCTCAAATTCCCATTTTCATCCATCCATTAACTCTGAGTGCTGCTTATATCCTCTTCCCTCGCCACTGTCAAAACACCAATGGAAAATTCTTTTTGTGACTTCATATATTTTCATTTGAAGTGAAGTGACGTGACATGTGGCCAAGTATGGTGACCCATACTAGGAATTAGTGCTCTGCATTTACCCATCCAAAGTGCACACACACAGCAGTGAACATACACCCGGAGCAGTGGGCAGCCATTTATGCTGCGGCGCCCGGGGAGCAGTTGGGGGTTTGGTGCCTTGCTCAAGGGCACCTCAAGGGCACCTCAGTCGTGGTATTGAAGGTGGGAGAGAGAGCTGTACAGTCACTCCCCCCACCTACAATCCCTGCCGGTACCTGGAAGCGTTACGGAATGGGGTCAGAAAATGCTATGCTAGGCTAATGTTAGCTCAAAACACATCAGTTTGTAGGTGACTAACAAACAGAGGAAAATTGTATTTTCGGGGTCCACCCGCAACCTTTGGCTTACGAGTCCGACTCTCTAACCAGTAGGCCACGACTTCCCACCGATTTGAGGGACAAAGCAAGCTTTTTGCACTGAAATCCTCTTCCACCATTATGATCCACTCAATTTCCTGGATCAAAAGGGAACTCATGGATTTTTATTTTCCAGATGAGGCCTAAAATGTACTGCTGATTCAGGCGACCTCTCTGGAGAGAGAATGGGGGTAAAGCTTTTGGCCCAGAATGAAATGAGTCACTCAGCAAGTGACTGAAGTGTCGTGAACAACCACCTGGACCAAAGAGTGGGATTTTATTCAGCCAGCAGGTGTCCACAAACATTGTTGACTACTTAAAGTATGACTACTTAATGAGAGCAATTCTTCTGCAAAGCAATATACTGTAGTTCACTCAAAAATGAAAATTATGTCATCATTTACTCACTCTCATGTTGTTGCAAACCTCTCAGACTGGGGGACAATAAAAGCCCCCTTCTGAAAAACAAGTGTGCTTAATTGTATTGAAAGTGTACTACAAATAATCAAAGTGTATTAAAAAACGAAATACGACTACCAGATAATATAATATTAATGTAATAAGTACACTTAAAAAAGAGATACTTTCATGACTGTAAGTGCTCTTTGTAATAATGTCAATTTAAAAATTTTACTTTAAAGTACATTTTAAATCATTGTTTTAATAGTCTTTTGTTGTGCTTTAAAGAAGTACACTTATTTTGTTTGTATTTAGTGCATGTAAATACTATAATTACATACTATAATATAATGACAATGTAAAATATAATATACACTACTATAATTGTAATACTATACTACTATAATTGTAACTTTTTTGACATCACATTTAAATTAAATGTATTTCAAATTGCAGCTTTATTATTACAAATATATTTAAATACATGGCATACAATTTTCGATAAAAATGTGATTAAAGAATATTTTAGCTTATCAAAAATTCTTGTCAGTACATTCAGCAGTACACTTTAACCAATTTTAAATCACATAAAAATGTATTTAAATACTTCTTAAGTCTACTCAATTAAGCACTCTTAAGTTCAGCTAATTGCATTTAATATACATTTAAACAAATGTTCATTTAATTGTAAAAAAACAAACAATTAAGTGTCTGAAAACATAACATTCAGTTCACACTTAAACATATATATATTTTTTTATATTTCCATAATAAGTACTCTTATTTAATAGTATGCTAAATTGTACTTCTTTTTCAAAAGGGTCAATGTTGTCATGCATCTAAACATTCATCAGAATATCTTTTGTGTTCCACAGAAAAAAGAAAGCGATCCAAGTCTTTGTTTTTTTGTTTTTAGTCTTATTTTTATAGTTTTAACCATATTCATTAGCAATAACAGTCAAGAGAGAACAAGAAATGATTGGAAGATGGAAGAAAGGGGAATAAAACAGGCCTGGTCTCCATCACCACGGCACGTGTCAGAGCAAGTGCATTAGGCACGACTCTGAAGCATGAATAGAAATTACTTCGAGATGTATATTAATGCATATCTGTATATTTATGAATATCATGCAAGTGCAGCAGAGGATAATATAATAGACAGTGACTCAATTTCCTACCTAACATGCAAAATAGTGGAAAAGCAATGCTTTTTGTTTCTCATTATGTCTTCGCATCCCCCATAACAAAACACAAGCGACATTTTTTTCAAATGGTCTTGACATAGTACATCTCCGGCCCCTTGTGCTGTGGCTAGAAAGCGCTCAGAGCACTTTACTGGATGCGCCGTTGCCTCTTACTGGACTGTGATTGGCTGGACGGTTGCCACGGTCACCCTGACCCTGTGTGCTGCCTCCAGTCTGGGAAGAAGTCCTGGCAGTTTGACATGTGACAGCTCATGGCTCTAGGGGATGGTGGGTCGCTCTGCAGTCGAGCCATATTAATGTGCTTTTTCTGCTGAAGAACGGGCAGATCAATTATGTTGATATAAATCTCATTGCCAATAAAAGCAGAAGACAGCCTGCGTATTTGTTGTTTGCCAAGCAGCGGCAATATGTGTCACTCAAACTTCCCCATCTGCACAGGTAAACAAAGAGAGATCACCTGGACAACCTGTGACAATCCTGACATGAAACATATCAACATATATCAGAGCAGTCTAATTGATATTGCCTCTGAGAAACGACACTTCACTTTGTTTAAACTCCTGACACTTAAATATGCAGAAAAACTGATGTTAAATACTTTTACAACCAACAAACAAATGACAAATGATTTGCGACCCTGGACCACAAAACCAGTCATAAGGGTCAATTTCTTGAAATTGAGATTTATACATCATCTGAACGCTGAATAAATAAGCTTTGCATTGATACAACAGAATTGTGAAATTACATATAAAATATACTTAAATCCTATTTAGGTCTACTCAAATAAGCACTCTTAAGTTCAGATAACTGCATTTACTATACATTTAAACTATAAACTAATATTCATTTAATTGCGAATAACAAACAGTTGTCCAAAAACATTACATTCAGTTCACACTTAAGTATATTCTTTTAAAATATTTCCATAATAAGTACTCTTATTTAATAGTATGCTGAAGTGTACTTCTTTTTCAATAGGGTCAGTGCGTTCCAATGTTGTTATGCATCAAAACATTTTTCAGAATGTCTTCTTTTTATGTTCCACAGAAGGAAGAAAGTGATCTTTTTTTAGTTTTTAGTCTTATTTTTATAGTTTTAACCATATTCATTAGCAATAACAGTCAAGAGAGAACAAGAAATGATTGGAAGATGGAAGAAAGGGGAATAA